TAGGAATATGTAGGATAGTTCTGTTAAGTATAGCAGACTCAACTGTATGCTCACTAAACAAAGTGGCTTCCAAAACACCATCATATTCATATTAGACTAAGAGAAACCTAAGTAGAGCTCCTCTGAAGTAGAACTGTAATGCTTCATATACACCTGCCTTATTGTGTTAAAGGAAATGTCCTATAAAAGTGATGCTTCTGTGAGAAGAAGTATCGTAACATTAAGTATGTAACTTATAATAAAATCCAGGATATTCAGGAGTAAAACTGCCAGTCTATCAGCAAGAAAAAAATATCTGGTTTATGAACTGTTGTTACATGGGCAGAATCTCATATGGTGTTAACTGGCATTTCTGCATTTAAGCCCGTTTGCCCTAGATAAGGATCTGGCCCAGAAATGTGATTCTATTTTTTAAATTGACTAAGAACGGCTAAGTCAGTTCCATTTTTGTTTCTCAGCTACTCTGAGATCAAATTTGCTCATTTTTCATTTAAAATGGTGTTTCCTAACAATTGGCATTACAGAGACTGGAATTGGAATGTCAGTATATTCTGTATACTTTCTGCATTGTCTGTAAAAAAGATTCTGTGGGCCAAATTCTGCCTCATGCATCCCTACACAATACTATTGTCTTCCAACTCTGACCCACATGGATTTTCAAAAAAGTCTTCCTTTTTAGAGACCAGAATAAGATGCCAAATTTTCAATACTGTTGATCATGTTGGATACACAGGTGGTGTGACATCTTTCCTGAGTGTCACAATGGAAGACAAGATAAGCACAATGGGTGTTGAACTGTTTTGAAAATTTGGTCATTAACATATTGGGATTTTTATATTTCCAGTATGTCTGATTTCTGTCTTCTCAGGTGCTGAACAGGAATAACTCAGAGAAAAATTTGACTGCAACTGGAACTTGGATATCAGTTCTGTTAGCAGTATTTGAGTCAGAATAGAAGCTGGCTCATTTTCTCAGATGTAGCTTTATTGACTTGATACTACTAATAGAAATAAAAACCAATACTGTACAAATTATTTTTGTCAGTAGAACAAGGAAATTGGTCTCTGGACTAGAGGGGCAGGTTTATTGAGTAAGATATTGCCATGTTTACAAAGTTACTTTTATGACTGTAATCACTTTTTAAAATAGCAGGTAAAAAATGCCACTTCAGGATAACATAAAACAGCACAAATGTTCTAGAAGCAATGAATACACCTGATATTTGCCTGACACTTTGTTACAAAAAAAAAAAAGAAGTACAAAGGGGAACTTTTATTAAAAATAAAATGTGTGCATCAGCCAAACAAATACAACTGCATCTATATTTGATGTTGTCCCATACAACATTCCCATTAGCAAACTAGGAAAATGTGGTCTACATGAAATCAAGGTAAGGTGAGTATGGAATTGATTGAAAATTCCAATTAAAGAGTAGTTCACTGTCAGACTAGGATGGCATTTCAATTGAGCTACCAAAGGGGTCTGTCCTGGGTATGTTTCCATTTATTATATTCATTTATTATATTATTAACAAAGAAGATGCAACAGAGTACACTTATAGAATTTCCAGACAGTAAATTGAGGGGAAAATCAAAAACATGGAATTCCGTGTACTACACTTGGGAAGAAGAGACACATAACCAAAGGAAATGTGCATATCCAAAGTAGGGAGTAACTGACTAGACAACAGTACTGCAGAAAAGGGGCTGCAGGGAATATAGATGATCACAAACTAAATGAGTTAACAGTGTGATTTTGTTGCAAAAAAGGCCAGTCTCATTTGTGGTGTATTAACAAGAGTGTCGTATGTAAGACACAGGAGGTAATTATTCTGCTCTACTTAGCACTCTTTGAGGCATCAACTGAAGAACTGTGTCCTGTTTTGGGCACTACACTTTGAAAAAGATGTAGACAAACTGGAGACATTCCAGGGGACAGCAACAAGAATGATAGAGGTTCAGACAGAAGGAGTGAGTTTGCTAAGTCTAGAAAAGAGAAAATGGGGGATAGAAAGAACAACATGCTGAATCTTACAATATGAAAAATATTGTTGTGAAGAGGATGGTGATAAATTATATCCTGTATTCACTGCACGTACAGCAAGAATAAATCAGCTCAATTTGAAATAAAGGTTTAGATGAGATATTAAGACAAACTTTTCAGCCATAAGGGTAGTAAAACACCAGAACAGGGTACTTTGGGATTAGGCAGAATTTCCATTTTTGGAGGCTTTTCACAGACACGCGTCAAGGACAGTCTAAGTATATTTGATCTTCTGCCCGTGTACACAGAATTTGTGAAGGATTTGAAAAACTAAGCCAAAAGGAGCCTTTTTTCCCTTAAATGTTTCAAATAAACATCTGAATTATGCTTTCTGGATGCAGTGAGTCTCAATTTCTCTGTTCCTCATTGGGCAGGAATAAATGGAGGCCCAAAGTGTCTCGGAGTTACCTTTTTGCTTCCCATATGTTAAAGAAAAAATGGCCGTTGCAGTGGGGTGTGGCCATAATCCCACATGATGGGGACTAAGACCAGGGTCATTATTAAATTATAATGCATTCCTTTTGGTTATGGAGACTTCCTACACAGAAGACAGCCCGAAGAGACTATTTCTACTTAATTCAAGATTTCTTAATGCTATGTCAGTTTTATAGGCTAGGAACAGATGTTGCATTTGTCCCTGGATAAGTTGTGCCTATGGTTGTCCAAGAAAAAAAAAATATCCTGGGATTGGCACGTATATGCATCACCCTTCTAAATCGGGTTTACTGAGCAGCTGAATGCATCACTGCTTTTATTTGATTCAATGATGAAATCCTGGGACAACTGTTCATATGCACTTTGTCATAAATTGTTAGTACTTCTTATCTTGTGAGACGTTTTAGGATTTATCCTAGGACAACAGACACAAATGTCTGAATGACTGCATCTTTTCCTGTGATAAAATGTTTATTTAGAGCCACAGAAGCTTTAATATAAAAAATAATCAGGCCTAGTATACTGTCAAAGAAATTAGTCAGAAAGTGTACCTTTTTAAAATGAAATTTTCTATTCTTAGAAAAAAGTGGTTACTACATTAATTTCTAAAATACCTTAATAAACAAGAATACCAATGGAGGTTTTCATCATGATAGAATTTTCCTTTATCCTGGGAACATTATCTTGACCCTGTACAAACTTTTATGGCCATAGTACAATGAAGAGTTTCAAGAATTGTAATCTTGCATCTTTTTGCCTTTCCCCATTTTCTATCATCATAATCAATGATGATGTCGGCCCAGTTTTCAGAATCACGTCAGGATCAATTCATACTAAAACAGACTGGTATTTCCTTAAGAGTGGAACAATGAAAAGAAGATGATTGCTATTACTGCTTGGTATATATATATTATTTATTATGAAATATTTAAATTATTAATTAAGCCAATGCCATTTTTGCAAGGGATAGTCATTGCCCTTTAAATGAAATGGGCCACATTCAGTAAGTTTTCAATGAAATATTGGATACATATAAATGAGGAGAGAATTTAGCCTGTCATGTCTTTCTTTAGGACACATAAGCATCACCCTCATATCCCTTCAGAATTATATCTTACAATAAACAGAGTCAGCTCTATTAGAGAAAAGTGCTCCTGTTGTTTTTTTTAAATGAAATTCATAAACTAGGAGTTAGGTACAGAATACTTATCAAGGCTGCATGATATTTCTGGTGTACACTACAGTATTCAGTTAAAATGTATTTTGTTTTTAAATAAAGATCAGCATGTTTTACTAATAATGAAAGTCACTCTGTGTTCGACATTTGTATCTGGAACTCCAGGAATCAGTATCTCGGGTAGAAACAAGGACCTATTCCTTGGGGAGCTGGAATTCCCAGGGGTTTTGTGGAGATCACCCTTACAACCAAAGGCTGATTCCGGTTTGGGGCTGGTTGGGTTGGCTGTGCTATGGTAGGTGCTGGCTGAGGCACTTCATAGCCACTTTGGAAAGAGAACAGTCAGCACCTGGACATGCATGTCCTAGCCGTGTCACAGAAGGATGGGGACCAGGGATTCCCCCCTGAGATGACATGTAATTAACTGCAGAGGGAAAAGATGGTTTTTTAAAGGGCCACCTACATAGAAGGCGATGTGCCTCTTAGCTCAAAGTTCCCAAACTGTATCAGCAGATCACTGTCGTCCTTGAAGAGAGAGTCACCAGGGGAAGATGCAGGATTTGGCAAAGGGGGTGCTGCAGGGGTGGCTGCACCTCCCTCCCAGCCTCCCCCCGCCGGTGCGCGCAGACTGGGCGCTGGGAGTCTCCGAGGACTTTTCCAAGACCCCAAAGCAGCTAAGGATCCCCCCAGCTCAGAGACACGTCCTGTTCTCCCTCCCGCTCCCCTGCTCACCGCTGTCCAGACGCTTCCGAAGCAGCCCGGCTGGAGAGGACGGAGCAGAAAGCCGCAGCGGGGCGGGGAGGGGAGGGAGGTGCCTCTGAGCCCCGAGGGGAAGGGCAGGGGGAGCCTCACCTGCTCGGCGGACTTGCAAATAAGTCCCCGGAGGCTCCTCGGTGCGGTGCTGTGCGGCCCGAGAGGGGGCCCTCCCTCCCCGTGCCATTAAAGGAGAAAACCGCGGACAAATCTGCGGCTTTGCCCTGCGACCAGCGGCCGCGGCGGCGGTGCGAGGCCGGGCGGCAGGCCCGCAGCAACGCACCCGGCCGCTGCCTCTCGGCCAGGGCCCAGGCGAGGTTGCCGGGGGCAGCCCCGATACGGGCCTCAGCCCGAGGCGCCGCTCCCAGGTGCAGCCCAGGCGGCGGGCGCGGGGCCGGGGCCTCCCGTTCTCGCCTGTGCTGATCGAGGGAGGATCCCGCTACTTCCC